ATGAGTTTCTCTCTCTCTCACTCTCTCTCTCTCTATCTCTCTCTCTCTCTCTCTCTCTCTCTCTCTCTCTATATATATATATATATATATATATGTATATATATATATATAAGTTCATCGTCATCATCATAATCATCATCATGTCGCGCTTAATTCACTCAGCTCTATTCAACAGACGCTCCAACTCGTCACATCTATTAAATATAAAAATGACAAACGCTCCAGTCCCACTAATCATAATCCGCGCGAGGATCTTACAATACATTTGCCCATTCCGTCGAGTGGCGAGCATTATTAAGTTCTTTATAATTTTTCAGGATAAAGAGTAAGTGGACGGGCCGATGAGACGTTGTAGTATCTAGGCGAACGTATCAATTAAATACATCGGTTGTTTACGAGTGCCACGTAAAAGTCCCAAGTACCCGACTATAATGAGCACGCGATGAAAATATGATGAAGAGAATCTCTCAAACATAAAATCACATATAAATACGCTGGAGTGGCGTAAAGATCATAAACGAGTATCATCCTTGAGCCATCAACTTTTATATCTCGAATTTTATAGGTCGTAACTCGACGGAAGAAAGTTTATTGGTTAGCTTGCAGAAATTTATAGGTAAACAAAAGGCGCGTGCCGGTCAGCCGATCGATTAAGGGACCTCGACAAGCCCAAACGACTTTTTCCAATGTCCGCGCCCGTCCACTCTCCTCCTCCCCGTCCGTCGACCGAGCACTCAAAAAATCGTAAAAACCCTCGTTCTGACGAACCCATGTATGGCCAACTCGCGGCACTTAAATTCAATCTCCCTTACGGTCTTGGATTTTACGGCTTGGGTTTCTCACAGAATGCTCGTGATGCAGATGGTGGTGGTGTTGGTGGTGGTGGTGGTGGTGGTGGTGGTGGTGGTGGTGGCGATGACGATGACGACATAGCAGAGAAGAATGGACGGGGGAACAAGCCAAAGAAACAAATGAACGAATGAAACGAGAGAGTGAAAGGCTAACGACAAAGAGAAATAAAAAGATTGCTGTACAACGGGGAAAGGAGAGAGAGAGAGAGAGAGAGAGAGAGAGAGAGAGAGAGAGAGAGGCTGGTCGAGTCGCGATGCCCGCGACTATCGTTAAACATTCAAAACAAAGCGATTAAGAGAAAGACGGCTACTCGACGAGCGCCAACCGCCAAGCAAATGGCCGATCTCGGCTTATGATGGGCATTACTCGGCTCGTTATGGAATAATTTACGAGGTGCGAACCGCGGGGGCGATAATCCAACGACATTTACATCCCAATAAACACTGCGATACATAGGCGCGCGCTGGTGCTCGCGCCGCTCTTCATTTTTACGACGTTTTAATTGTCCGGGAGTCTAATTGGGCCGTAAAACGGCCCAAGGGCTCGTTAAACGCTTTACGATAAAGCTCGGCGCACGCCTCTGCCGGCTACGAGATTACGAAATCTCCGAAGGTTCGCTGTCCCGCCGTTAATAGCCCAACCGATCTGCTATTTACGAGCATGAACTTTGACATTGGGCAGGATGGGACGAGGACGAGTACCTTATCGGCTTTAAAAAGGTGACCTAAATTATTCGCCAACCATTTGTCCACGTAACGACGTATCATCGGCTCGGCTATCGAGCTCCTTCTTCCTCACTCGCACATCCCTTTAACGCATTTACGTAATTAACTCGAGTCTCCGACGACTTATTAATTGTGATGACGTTACGTATGCAGTCTGAGCAGTAAGGACGGGCTTCCGCGTACTCTAAATACGTAATAAGAGGCAGAGTTCCAGCGAGGCCGTATTCTTGACGTAGCGCGTTAAAAATAATTGCACGAATTCACGGTCCTGGGGCATGATAGCGCGTGTCCAGTGATAATTGCATCCTACGACGTAAGCGTTCGAGCGAGTACTTCAAAGGCTTTGAAAGGAAAGCGGATGGAAATGTTCAGATGGAGCCTTCGAGGATCAGAGAGAGAGAGAGAGAGAGAGAGAGAGAGAGAGAGGCGCTTAAACAATTGGAGTAGGAGGATGACGAATATAGCGCAAAGAGCCAGGAGCCAGGAGTTAAAGGGAAGAGAGAGCGCTATGAATGGATGGAGAGTGTCCCGGGGAAGTGGTCCTGCGAAGGAGCGCAAAAAGCCCATAGAGCGGGCAATCGTCGAAAAGGCGCAAATGGACCGTGGAGAAAGGCGCGTGATGCTGGTCGTTTGAAAGTCGCGAGGTCTCTGTCGGCCGGTAGTTCGACGGTGCTTGTAGAGGTGGCGTTGGGCCGCGATATACAAGCAGCCCGTGGATCGGCGTCGGTGCACGCGAGGTCGGTGGGGGCGGGGCTTGGGCGGCTGCCCCCGCGGCGGCAGAGGAGGGGGTTGCAGTTCGCGCGGCAACGGATTGCCGGCCGTGCAATGGTGGTGGGGTTGCCGGCGAGGACTACTTTCACCGGGCGTAGGGACGTCGGGGTCGGTGCGCGACGCGCTACTCGTGACGAATTCAATTCTGATTGGTCCTTAAACATAACCTCCCCCTTGGCACCTCGTAGTCGTCCCATGATCCTCGCTCGCTCACGCGCGCGCGCGCTTTCTCTCTCTGTCACGCAACCGATCTCCTTTCCTTCATCTTCTCCCACTTCCGTGCTACGAATCCGCTTGGTCTTTTCTACCGTACTCCATCTCTCTCACTCGCACTTACGACGGTGACATAGAGGTGGAATATTGGCTTCTCCGTCGCACGCGTCTTATCCGGGCTCGTACGGGAGACGACGGGCCGCGCCGAGGAGGCAGTAGAGGGCCACACGAATTTAATCCGACGGCATGTCGTTGAGTTACTCGAGCTTCCTACAGGGGTCTCTCCTGACCGAACTGAGCAAGCCCGAGCGTGTGTGGGTACGTCAGCGTGTTCAAAGACGAACGAGAGAGGGAGAATCGGCGGAAGGGAGAGGAAGACGGTCTGAGATCGGAGGTGGGACAGACAGAGAGAGAGAGAGAGAGTGAGAGAGAGAGAGAGAGAGAGAGAGAGA